GTAACACAGGGCAGGGTAACCCCAGAGCTCTCCCTCTCACCCCACAGCCAATGTCTGCGATGACGAGCTCCTGCTCTGCCAGAACGGCGGCACCTGCTACCAGAACCAGCGCTGCATCTGCCCCGTGGGCTTCAAGGGCGTGCTGTGCCAGCAGTCCCGGTGTGAAGTGGACAAGAAGGACTGTGACGGTGCTCCCGGTGCCGGTGGCAGCCTGGCCACCGTGGCCCTGGGCGTGCTGGCCCTGCAGCTGCGAGGCTGGGCGGATCTCTGAGGCTGCACAGGGAGCCCAGCCCGGGCTGGGACCTGGGGACACCGAGGTGACGGGTGGCCGTCCCCACCGCCTTCCTTCACGCTAGGACTTGCACAATGTCTTTGGGCCCACTTTCCAAGCAGACAGGTACGCAGGGAGCCCGGCGCTGGTGCCAGCCCGGTGTCGCACGGACTGCGGTGACACCGCAGCAGCCGGGGCGGGTCCGCCCTCCCTGCGCTCCGTGACCCCGCACAGCGCGGCCCGGGGCCACCGGGGCTCTGGGCAAACAGTGCCGCCACCCAAGGGATGGTTGTTCTTTTTTTTTAATTATTACTTGATTTACTTTGGTATAGGCTGGGGTGTTTTTTTTATTTTCCCTCCTCTTTAGCGTCCTGTTTTGGAAGAGCCCCAGCACACAAGAGGCAGGGACAGGAGGGAGGGGAGAGGGGACTCTGGTCCATCCCTGCTGCATTGTCCCACATCCCACCACGGGCCCGGCCTGGCCACGCACATACTGTTGCCTACGACTGTAGTTGCTGCATTGATTTTGTATTTTCATGGCTGGGTTTTGTTTTCTTGCACTTACGGAGAACACAGGGGGCCGTGAGGCATTTGGAACGTGAGGAGTGCAGTGTCTTATCCACACATGTCCGTATGGTGTACGGGTCAAATACTTCTTTTGGTAGAGACTTATTTTTGTTTGGATTAAATGTTATATCAGAACCACGACCTAAAGGGACATTTTACCATGAGCATTTGATTCTGGTGTATCCTCCTCCAGTAAAGCAACTATTAATGGCTGCTTGATCACCACGTTTTCCTTTTTGTGTGCACAGTTAATTACAGGTAAAGACTTATTTTTTGATTCATAATGTCCTCTTGTGTTTTCTGAGTCACTACCAAGGTGCACCACATGGTGAGGGAGAGGGGAGGGAAAGAGAAGTTGCCTCATCACTGAGAGCTGTTAATTATTTCTCCTAATTACTTTGCTGAGCCTAGGTTAGACTAGTAACTGTAGACAATGAGCAAAGTCTGAGTGATATATTAAGCACTGGTCTTGTGTGAAAAGGTCATTTCCAAATGAGCCTGCAGCAGGAAAAGGCTGGCTAGTGCAGGGATGCTTCTCCATGGGGACCTCAGCTGTCCCAACCCCACTGCAGCCCCCTCCAGCTGGTGCCATGATGCACCTTTACAGAAAATGCTGTCTTTTTAAGCAACCACAGCCAATATTTTTAAGCATCAATATAGAGCTCACAGCAATTATATTAACTCATTAAGGCTCATCAACATGCTCCTGTCTGAGGAGGCATTTACAGTCAAGCACATAAATGAAGGCAGGAGAAACCAGAGACAAGAAAAGAGGTAACTCAGATCAACAGGAATGTCATAAACACAAGAGCTCTAGTGTTGTCATATTCAAATACTTACCAAGCCAGGAGATGATTGAGAAGATGGGGGACATCCCCAGCTCCAGCTTGTTCAGTTCTAGGCTGGTTTCTTTGACAGGTGAGCAGCCTTGGTCCCAATCTCAGTTCTGTGACACTCCCAGAGCCAGCCCAGGAGCCCCAGATAATCCAGACTTCATCTCCACTGGCATTTCCAGATCTGGTGTCCTTGCCTGAGTGGGGCTTTTTTCTCTGAGAGCTTCTCTGTCAACACCTGCTCTGTCCCAACACCTTCTTTCCATGGCCCTGTCCTTGCAGCCCATCCTGCTCAGGGATGCCAGGAGCAGCCTGTGTTTCATAAGTGCAAGAACCTGCAGCATCTTGCAGCCCTAACTCTGGATACTGAGCACTCTGCCAGTGCCACCAAAACCCAGCCACCTCCACCGAGAGGGGACAGCAAGTCTGTGCTTCAGAAAAGGAGAGAAACCCACGAGTGAAAGTGCAGGATATTGTCACTTCAAAGAGCAACACACATTCTGAGCAGGATTTAACATCACAGAGGCAGAGCACAGGGCTTAGTTAATCCACCAGAAAGTAAAAGAGGGCTCAACTCACCCTGATTTGATCCTTGAGGCAGTGGGCTGGCCCCAGCATTGCCTCCCTGGCTTCAGCACAGTTGGTTGCTCTCACACTCACTCTTTTCTTTGTGCTTTCTGACTGCAGCAGACTTAAATCCTCATATTACTGTTCTTACAAGTAGTAGCAAAGGCTACAACAAGATCAAGGTCTCTTATGGCATTTCTGGAGGGTGAAGTAACATTGTCTTTCCCCTGCACTACTGTTTTTCTCTAGAATATTAGATTAAGCAACAGAAAATTTACTACTTCATAAAGCCAAACTCTGCACCCAGCAGATTCCCTGCAAATACACACTTTTATTGCAGGAACGTGCCAAGGAGCAGCACCAAATTCCTGTAGAAAATAACATCAGAAGGGCACAACAAAGCTCAGACCAGACCAGGAATGAAGGCTGCTGAAAACTACACTCGACCTTTCTAGGTTTGGGGCTTTGCTTTGGTTGGTTGGGTGTTGGCTGTTTGGATTTGGGGTTTTAGAGCCACAGCATAGTCACACGTGCTGTAGAACTTGGAATCACACAATGTAAATCACTGCAAAGTAGAAAAGAAAATCTCTCACACAAAACTTACACTTAGTATTCAAGAAAACAATTTAAAGCTTCTAAAAGCTTCAGCACTGAAGACCCGTTAACTGCAGACATCTGTCTGCACAAAGAGAACAAAGCATTATTGAAATAACACACAAACCATCACTGCAAGTACACACAGATCCCAAAGTTCATCTTTAAGGCAGAAGTTTTGTACATCAGTTAATGCTTCCAAATGGGAGAATTTGTCCAATGAGCCTGATACTTTACTTGTGGAAAGGTTACCCAAAATGTACTTCTCTTTCTGAGAAAAGCCACTTATGCTCTTTCAAGAGGTACCATGTGCATCCTGTCACCGGCATTTGATTCGTTTGGAAAAGTTTTTAAATTACACTTCTGTCTGCAAAATGTGACCTCTCCAAACAGCACAAGTAGAGCTTTTGATTTTTCTTGTTTACCACAAATTCTATTCTGATTTTAACTATTTAGAGTTCTGAGAAATCTAAACAACCAAAAGCTCCAAGGCAACAAAAACCCTCCTGATGGAAATTTGCTCACTTGCGAGGTAAAATGTTAAACCTGCAGTTCCTGGAAGCTGGAGACAGGAGAGGGGAAAGAATTCCATTGGCAGTTCCCAGGTATGTTATTTTTTAAAGATGAGGCAACAGACATCTCATCTGCAAGTGATTCGTGAGGAATCCTGCAGAGGCTGGAAGAGCAAGAGAACCAACACTTTTTAATGGGAATAAAACGGTCTCACTGCCCTGCTATTGGCTTTCATGAGAAGCCTCAAATGTAAATAAAACAAAGAATAAAGGAGGAGCTGAGTTGTTCTTGCTCAGAAATAAGCTGGCTGGGAGCTGGAGAATTTGGCCACGATCACGCAGAAAATGGCTAAAAATCTCACCCTGATTTAAGATGCAGAGAAAAGCTTCAGACCCTCCAGAAGGCTCCTTTGGCATTTTGATACTCGTGTTGTAACAAGTTTCACTGCAGGGTAAAATGTGTGAGGAAAGCCCAAACCCACCCATTTTCACCACCTGAGTGCTAGCAACAATACCAGGCTCCAAAAGCTCCATCCTGACCCCACTGTGTCACTCCAGGGCTTAAAACAGAGGGAAACTGATGGGGTTTCTCTGTAGCAAAGAGTTCTTGCTTCATGCAACAGTGAAATCAGTGGCAACATTGCACAGCTGTTCCAGACTATAAGATCAGAGTTTCTGAGTTTTCCCAACAGCAGCTGCAATGTGCTCTCAGGCCACCTTCATTTCTATCATGATTTTCCTGGGAATTGGTGGCAAATTAGCCAAGGGCTGAGCAGCAGACAGGTACATATGGCCAGGAGGTCTCATGTCAGAGATATTCAAGGTACAAGGCTGCTTAGCTTACATTTACTTGCACTAAAGAATAAGGCACTGGGCTCCTTTCCAAGCAGCTTAAAAAGACAAGAAAGGAGACCCGTTTGTGGCAAGAGCCTATATTATATCATTAACATTATAAATTCCATTTACAATCCAGCAGTCATTTCACCATCATTTATTCATGCACAATGGAGAGAGCTCTTGCATTTTTAGGACCGTGCTCCTGCTCATGCACAGGAGTGCTGTGAATGAACAGCCCAGCTCCAGTTTTGGCTACTCTGATCTCTGCCTTCTCACCACACTTCAGAGACTGCCAAAAAGCAGAAGGCAGCTCTGGAATTACTGGGGTTCCACGTTGTATTTCTCTGGTGTTGCCTGAGAATGCTGTTTAGCCCCAGTTATGTATTTAGTCACAAGTTGTGTTGCTCTGGAAGCCCAGGCTGCTCTGTGCTTCCCCCACGTGAGTGTAGCAGGGCTGGGGGCTATTCCCATTCCACCGATTAGCAGGGGAAGGAGAAGTGCCGTGCCAACCTGCACCCCTGGTGGTGCCACCACTCATTAGAGCCAGCTGCTAATTAGTTGCTGCAGGAGACAGCACTGAAAGAGCTCATGGTGCCACCAGCACTGGGAGTGAGTGGAGGAACAGGCAGGAAGGAGATGCTGATGTCCCTCACATCCCACAGCAGCCTGGCACAGCTCTTGTGAAAGCCAAGCACAATCCAGTGGCAGCTCCAGCTCTCAGCATCCCTTGGCCCACCCACCAAGGAGCCAACACCTCCCTCCTGCACTTCCCAGAGTGGATAATGCTGCTGGAAAACTGCTGGTTTCCCTCTCGTGGCCCAGGAGCAGCTGGGAAGGCAGCACAGCACAGGGCACAGTGAGCCAGAGCTCAGAACACAGACTAGACAAGTACCTGCCCTGCTCTCACAGCACCATGGCTGGGAGCAAGGACATGAAAATGACAGCAAATCTTAGAGGAAAAACGAATAACCACAGTTATACCTCACATTTGCTGCAAAGCCTATACTGTTTACAAAGAATAAATTTTAAAAACCTCCACATTCTGAAAAACCCTTAACAAAATAGGCCAGCACTTAGAAGCAGCAGCACT